CGCAGCGCCTGCGTCCGCCGCAGCTCCGCCTGGCACCCGCTCCGAACTCCGGCCCCGGGCCGGGCCTCGTCCGCTTCCCTCCCCGCGGGGCCTGACGTGTCCAGCTTCTCTCTCTCTCTCTCTCTGTTTTTTTAAAAGTTGATAGGAGACTTGTACAGTTGACCGGTTTTCTTCCCGTTTGGTAGTTGAGACGCTGTTGCCGATTCCGCCCCTGCCCGCCCGGTCCCGATCGTAGCTTAGTCCTCCCCGGCCCGCCCGGCGGGGGTGCGGGCGGAGGCCTCCCCGGCCGGGCCGGCGCCGGGGCTGGGGAGCGCCGGTGGGAAGATGCCCCCCCACCTCTTTTCTTAGTTTTATGTTTCTTGGAGAAAAAAAAAATATCACTTTGTATTCTCTGTCCAGGGCTTCAGAAATTTTGCACGAATTTTAAAACATGGCAATAAATGGCTCGTGGCTCTGGCTTCCCGGGGACCCGCCCCTCCCTTTCTCTCGGGCCCGCCTCCCCCGGCCTGGCCCGCGGGGGCTCCGGGCTTCCCGCCTTCTCCTGCCGGGCAGGTCCCCGGCGGGAGGCCCCGGGCTGCGGGGGGCCGGGCTGTGGGGGGCTCTCAGCGCTTTCCTCTTGGCTCGGGCTCCTTTTTCACGTTCGGTAACCTGGGTTTTCTTTTCTTTTTTTTTTTTTTGGAAAGCACAAACTTCTGTAACGGGTCGTGCTCATCATGTCTGTTAATAAAAGAGATCCAGATCCCGTCCGGCCTGCTGCTGTGGGCCTCCAGGCGCTGGCCTGGCCCCCGCGTCCGAGGCCGCAGCGGGCGGGGCGCCCCTGGGACCCGATCTCCACGGCAGGCTAGGGGGGGCCCGGGCCGCCTCCGGCTCCGGGGACCTGGGGACCTCGGGCGCGAGCAGCGGGGGGCTCCCTCCGCTTGTACCAAAGCAGATCACACACCTTTATTATCCTCAAAATGTAACAAACGGGGTAAGAAATCCCGCCCTCCCCCTCCCCTCGCCCTTCCCCGCAGTCCGAGGGAAGCGTTTTAAAAAGCCCCGCAGTCAGGCCAGGAGTCCGCCGGGCGCGGCCCGCGGCGCCGGGCGCCCCCTCTATACGGCTGTAGTCCTCCCGAACAAAGGGATGGAGACCGGCAGGCGCCAGGCCCCGTGCTCCAGGGGCTCGCGGCCGCCGAGCTCCGAGTCGGTCCAGCTGGGGAAGACGCGGCGGCCGCGGTCGGGCTGCAGGCAGAGCGCGGGGCAGGGCGCGGCGGGCCGCGGCGCGCTGGGCAGGTGCAGCGCCGAGCTGTAGCCCCGGTCCAGGAAGAGCGGCTTGTAGCTGGGCGGCTGCTCCTGCTTCTCGGCGCTGTCGCGGCGGCTCAGGAAGGGCGTGACGATCTTGCGGTAGAGGCCGCGCGTGTCGGTGAGCACCTCGCTGTAGGGCGGCGGCGGCTCGGCCATCAGCACCGCCTCTTCGTAGCACGGCGGCTTGGACATGTCCGACTCGGCTGCGGGGCGGGAG